CACTCACCCAAGCCTACTCCCCACCTCCCTCTCCCCCATCCCTTTAACCCGATGATCCCTCGGATTCGCCGCCGCTTCATAAAGAATCCCCTCCGGCGCCTTCCCAAGCGCCATCCAATCCCCTTTAAACCCCAAATAATAAATTCTCGTCTTTCCATCTCCCCCATCTCCCCCTTCCTCCCCCTCTCCCTCACTTCCACTCTCCTCATCATCACTATCCTCCTCATCCTCAGCACTGGAATAATTCCTCTCAAAATACAAGCTCAAATCCTGCACCCTCGCAAACTTCGCTCGTTTTACGGGGATTTCTTGCACCCCATTGCTTTGCGGGATGTGTAGTTCTTGGACGGGTTGAACGTCACGGATGGAGAGGAGATCGAGGTCGGCGCGGTTGGTGAAGAGTTTTAGAGTGCGGGGGGCGGAGGGGGATGTGGAGGTTCGGATTAAAATTGAATGTAACCTTACTTGTCCTGTAAATCTGTTTTCTTGTTAGCACTTTCTTTGCCCCCTCCAATATCCCCCCAAAACCAAAACCAAAACAAAAACTCACACAACCCTAACCAACACCCTCCGTCCCGCCTCACTAACCACCACAGGCACCTCACTCATCCGTTCCCCCCACGTCTTCCTCACAACCCCCCTTCCGGACCCCGCTTCCCTCTCGTTATACGTCGTTACTTGATCGAAATCGATGTGTTGGTAGAGGGAGTATTGGAGCGCGGGGGTGAGATCGTCGGTATGGTCGTGGTTGTGTTCATCGCCTCCGTGGGAGTGGGAGTGTGAGTCGTCGTGGGAATGAGAATGAGAGTGTTCGTTGTGGCAGTGGGACATTTTGGATGTGGATGGGGATGGTGATGTGTGGAGGTGGAAGTGGAGGTGGAGGTGGAGATTTTTGGTTGGCGTTTGGTGGTGGATGAGTATGAGATTAGAAGGAGGGGAGGTGGTGGTGTTTGGAGGGGTACTGTAAAGAGCGGGTTATGGCGGGGTTGTTTGGGTTTCTGGGGCTGCAGGTACCAACTACATGTGGATTGGCGAAGTGAATTTGTCAACGACGAAACATGATTCACTCTTGACATTAAACCCGTTATACTTACATATTCACCTACCTACTTCTCTACCATTAATTCTATATTAATCAGAATTTCATCACTTAAAAAATACACCATCAAAAAAAGTCGTCTCCAAAAACTTCAATTGTCTCATCCTCAATCAATCTACCCTAACCCTTTCTATCAATTACATATTAATACTCTCATTAAACCTCAACACCCCATTCGCCTTCAAAACCCCGTCAATACCCTCGGGAAGTCTAGGGAAAGGATCATGGAGATCCATTCGCTCCGATGCCTCGGCAGTTCTATCCATCACAAGAACCAGCCCTTGAGCTTTGATAGCTTCAACCAACGCGGGAACCATATCCTATCACAAAAAACATTAGCGAGTTCTTCTGCAGTACGGATTGTTATACATTTGAATGAAGGAGGTGATGGACTTACCAAGAGTCTAGAAACGCAAATCAAGCCCATAAAGTTGTTGTCTTGCGCAATTCTCACTGCCTCCTTGATCGATGTCGTTCGTCTCCCACTACTAGATATAGCATTCGAAGCATCAATCACCTCACCTTCCCGGCCCAGGTCATTACACAAGAAAACTGGATAATTTGGTTGTTTCCAATTCAGTGCCGTGCAGACCGTAGGGTTATACGAACTGAAGACGATAGATCTCATCGAGTCGGGATGCTGCTCCCGGAGCGTTCGCACATGGTCAAAGACAACGCCAAGAACTGCATCCCCAAATGAGTTGATGTCGACGACAGGGCCAAGACGAAGTGCCTTTTCTTCTTCCACGGAAGGATAAAGAACTTGGAGATTAGCATTCATTCCTCGTGGCAAAAGGTCCAATGCATCCTTGAGAGAAACAGCCGAGCTTGATAGGATCTGATGAACTTGCTCAATACTATCTGGCGACAGATTTGGTAGCGTTGAAATATCTTCAGCTTTTCTAGCACGTCGAGACCCAGCACTGACGAATTGCGCATATGTAAGACGACTGACTGGAAATTCAATATCCATGTAATCGATAGTCCATCTTGGCCAGAGTACGGGGACACCATCGCAGGTATGCTGAACGAGAAGTTGTACGTATTGTCCAGATAAACTTGAACCAGTGATAAACGCATTGGGCTTGTGGTCAAATTGACTAGTAGCTTTCCAATAAGTTTCAAAATCCGTAATCTCCAATGCTTTACCCTGGAAAGGTTTGATGACGTGGAAATTAAATGTCATCTGTCCAATAGCTCTTAATCTTGGGTCCATAAGGGCTAGAGAGCATCGTCCAGAGCTGCTCAATAATGCTCGAAATGTACTAGGTAATGCGACAGCTTTGGCAATTAGTTTCGCGCCATAGGTGGGAAACACCTCGAAATCGATTGCAAAAGATTCTAAATTATCAATCTGGAAAGAAACAAGTCGGGTATCTTCCTGAAACGGAAGGAGAATATTCTTGGGTATCAAATCGGAAAGTTTCGAGGAAATCGTAAGACGTGAAGCGGGATATTTGCTGTCATGGAAAAAGACCATAGGCTGCTCGCCATTTTCTTCGAAGTTGATTTGTATAAAAGTCTTGGTGTCAAGGAAATTATGACCGTAACGGCGTAGGGGAATGATAGGAGGTGGTAATTCGAGTTCGGGAATGCCATCTGCATCAATACTCATAGGCATAGGAGCACTACTTCCCATTGTGAGACCAAATTGCGTTGCCTGACTAGCCTGTCTTTTGGTCTCCAACGGTATTGAAGACAGTAATCGCATGCACTCCAAATGCCCCTCCCATGCAGCATAGTACATTGCCGAAAGGTCTTTCTCATCCAAAAGGCTAGTTTTCACCCCAAAATCTAGTAGCGTTTGCATACATGGAACATTGCCTTCGCTCGCTGCATGGAATAATGGGGTCCAAGAGTAAAGCTTATCAATTTGATCCAGGTCGGCGCCGTAATCCTTGAGAAGCAAAAGTAGCTGCGGAGTTTGACCAGATCGCGCAACGAGATGCTGTGGGTACAAGCCTTCTGCATCGGGTAGAATGGTTGCACCATGTTTTAAAAGTAGCTCCACTATCTCAACAGAAACATGCTCGCAGGCCAAATTCAGCGGTACGTGATCTGTATCCGAGCTGGGGTCTAGACGAGCAGATCGTACTAACAGTCTTTGCGCACACTCAAGGTGACCATGAATAATGGCATGGATGAGGGGCGTAAAGTTGTCGTGGTCAATAAGATCAACTGTTGTAGTGTCGGCTGTTTTCGCTTAGCGCATGTAAGAAAAGGGGGGTTCTGAATTTTACCATTTAGTAAAGCTTCCATCATATCCAACCGCCCATGCATACAGGCGTAATGAAGTGGCACACGACCATAAACATCTGTGCGATTTACTAGTACGGCAGTAGAAAGGCCAACTTTGAGGACGAAAGAACTTCCATAAATAGCAGCTTGATGAAGGCAATTTCGTTCGTTGATGTCATCTTCAGATTGCACATCAACAAGGTTGGTATCCAGAAGAAGTTGCAGAGAAGATTCTGGCGCTTCATTGATCGCGGCAAGAAAAGTTCTTGTAATTCGTTCCAACAATGCGACACCACGAGAACCATTTGGGTCTGGAGCCGTCTTTAACCGTAAAAGTAGATCTTTCAGGGAATCCAGGTTTCCAGAAATCATAGTCTCCAGGAGAAGACTATCGGCGTCACCTTCATCGGTTCCCAGTAGATGTTGGCTGCTCACGATGTGGTCTGGATTTCGATCAAAACTAACATGATCTCCTTCCACCCACGCGCCCAACTCCTGAAGACTTGTTGTTGCTTGATCAGACAACTCGCTGATGACAGTAGCGTTGAAGAATGGTTGAACTTCGACAGCACGAGATAAGTAAAGTTCCTTGGTTTTCGATTTGGAGCTTTTGTCCCATTTCTTCAAGATCTTAGAGAATGCTGTTCCGTTGATTTCGACGAATTGCTGTAATTTATTGAGGTCATTTCCGAATTGTTGAAATCCCTCTTCCAAGGTTGTAAATTTGGCGGATCGCCGAGAAGCAGTTGCGGTTCGAGATTGAAGAACCTTCTTCTTGTCTAGGAGAGTCTTCAGGCGGATTTTGAGCTATATTGTGTTAACCGAGTCTCGGAAATCAGTATGAAAAATGCTTCAAACCTCGGCTTCTTTTTGAAGGTAGAAAGCATTGACCTTCTCTAGCTCTCGTTCCTGTACACTCATCTCAGCATGGGGTCTTATATTCCGAGACCATGACCTACCAGTTGAAAGAAGAATGTAGCTTTGTTTGCTTGCAAAGCAGTTTGAGAATCAGGGACATGACTTTGGCGGTGAACATCGCTCTGAGAAAGGATAATTGGCGTGGCAGAGAGCTTCTTGATAAGCTACAGGCACCAGTGTGTCAGCACACATGTTTGAGTGTTTGGTTGATAATCACTCGAGTAGGCTTGAAGTATTGCTTTTTTGTGTAACAAGGAATCTTATGGACGGACCTTCTTCAGCGCCTTGTAGTTTACGAAGCTGGCTGCATACTCGGGAACTTCAAGCTGCCTCTTCTGAATCTGTTTGCCAAACTTCCTATAAATAGAAGACGGGTCAGTATGAGTTAGTTGATCTCTCACACACGCCAAGGCCAAGGTAAGAGAGTTTAAGACTGCAACCTCCCGTGATGAGGATTCGGGGATGCAAGATGTTTAAGACGTACATAATGCGGTGCTAGGACCCGCTACACCCTTGAGGATGAGCGAAGGAGTGGCTGTAGAGAGAAGGGAAGGCTCCGTTGAGAGGTACCGATTTAGGTATATTATTGACGCAAGTGACACCAGCTCCGTCCTACAATCTCATGGTGACTGGCTAACAAATACGAGTGCGGGTGGTATTAAGTGGTAGTAGTTGAGCGAGGCTGAGAATGACGAATTCGTCGGTTAAATGAGAGTCAGGTCCCTTCCACGATGCGATGCCCAGAGCGGGAATTGAGTTGAAAACGAAGAAAAGTAGATTTGAGGTTGGAAGAAGAAAACACCGAGCCTGAGCTCTGAACCAGCTGCCGGTCAGAGAAGGAAGCTGTTTGCACGTGCGTAGTGAGTGGTGGGCGGTGGATGTGTTTGGCTGGTGAGCGGGAGAGGTCCGAAGTCGCAAGAATTCGAGAAGGCGACGGGAGGAAATGAAAGGTGAGCGTTGGTGGGGGGAGGGGGGGCAGAACGACTTCAAGACCTACGAGGGGAGGGCAGAATGACGGGAGGACCGACTAGGTAGGTATGAGTATGGAGTGTGGGTATGGAGCAGTTTGGTAATAAAAAGTGACTCTGATGTACCAAGTATATGTGTAGTAGGGAGTATGGCAGAAAGGCCCATCCACATGGATTAGTCTGCCGTACCGTTGCTGGACCGAAGATCGGCTACGGAGCTGCTCAGAAAGAAGTTGTCCACGTCCACCAAAACGTCACGATAGTCCAGCGTTTGAGATTACACCTGAGCCTTTGTGTCACTTACCTATCCACGAGTAGCTGCGACTAGTTGGGCAATCGAACAGCTACTCGCACATACAAATTGACCTCATTTGGAGCTGCCATCTTCTCGAGCAGGCTGTGACGTTCCGTGCAAGGGTCGGCATTTTCTTTTTCTGCCACCACCGCCCAATCGTTGCACCCACGTGTGACCAGGGACTGGAACGAGGGGAGAGCAATGTCTTGGCAAGGCTACCAACTTTGCCTACTGAAGGCGCTGATGTGACGATGCAATGCAACTGCAGCGAGGTGGGGAGAAGGCTGAGCTATGATTTACTCTGTTGGGCCAATTCTTCCCTCTCAACATCCCAATACGCATACCGCAATCCAACTTGGGTTTTGGGAACCACAATCCCACTGTTTAATCATACCGAATGGCACTTGGAAGAAATGTTGGAGGATATCATCATGCTATGAACAAAATACCCACGCTCCCAAGACACTCAATCAATCAATATTCAATAGATAAAATCAACTTCTGCAACCCTCAAAATCCTCAAGACTTGCCAGTCAGCTTCTCATCGGCAATCTTGTCCTTGGTGCCAACCGTTTCAGCAGCTTCGGGTTTGCGGGCGGGCTCGCCAATACTATCCGCCATAGCTTCCGCAGCGGCCTTCTTCAGCCTCTCCGCATCGTCTTTGTTGACCTCCTTTCCTCCAACCCGATCCTTGCTTTCCTTTTCGTCCTCACTGTCACCAAGACTGAACGGATCGTTGTCCGCCTCGCCGACGGGGTTGGGATCAACAGCCGAAAGCGGCTGCCATTTGCTCTGCTTGCCAGCATTCGCTTCCTTTGCAGCTCCAGATTTGGGTGAGGTGTTGTAAATGTCCAGATCTTCGATGGGCCGACTTTGGAAAGCAACCTTGCGTCCATCTGCTGATTTAGGTGGGGTTGGAGTGGGTTTGAAGAGGTCGGGGTTAGCCAACGGGCGGGTCGAGCGACGAGCGGCACCTTCAAGAATGTTAGAACACTATAACAAAACTAGTGCAGAATCACTTACTGCCGTCTTCATTCAACTGAATACCAGCGAAATCGTCCCCGAGTACGTGGGGATCAGCGTCATATCGGGCATAGTCTCCACTCTGCCTCGAGTCTTCACCCCTACGGCCTCGGTAAGGATCCGGTCCAGTACTGTAACCCATTTCATTAGGTGGTGGTCCATCATCTCCATCAATCTTCTTCTTTAGATTCGTGATCCATGAGTTGACAACAGTCTGGGTTTCCAGAAATCCCTTCTTCAGGTTCTCCTTGATAATAGGTAGGTCGTCATCTAAGAAACTGTGCTCTTCTTCGCGGAACTCATTTTGTCGTTGTTGTCTCGCACGGGTATCTCCTCTATCTCCTCTGCTACTCGTACGTGGCGCATAAGACGATCCTCCGCCGCCGTATTGTTCCGCCAGTTGGCGAGCGTACTGTTCGTCGGCTTCGAGTTGACTTTGGGCTGCAGGTGCGACTGGGCGTGGAGGTTGAGGCGGTGGAATCTCCTCTTGGATGACCGCATCGGGGTCAGTCATTTCTATCAAAAAAGGTCAGTACAGTAGTTTATTAAGAAAATGGGAGGGTATTCTACCCAGCAGAGCGTTGAAGGCCGCTTCCACACGCCCACCGCTTGCTCTCAGAACAGCTTTGATCACAGCCAACTCAACGGATGGAAAAGCTTCCTTGAGAGTGTTTTCAGTCTGTTGCTGGGCGCTCTGAGGGCGCGGGGGCTTTGGTGGAGGAGCATCCTCAACAGTTGCTGGTTTGGGTACTTTGGGAGCTGTAGTCGACTCGCTGCTCAACACACCAGTTTCTTGAACGTCGTCGTCATCCATGTCGAATGGTTGAACGGTTGTGGGTGATTCGGGTACGGAAGAGTTCTTCAGCTGGAAAGAAGAAGTGGTGGTTAGTAGGAAGCTAAAGCTTGAGGTTTGCGACGAGGCTAGAGGGAGGTAGCGTAGCGCATGAAGGGGGAGGGGGGAAAGTAACGGCTTACTGGGTTGTCGGACATCTTTTATTTCTGGATTTCCCAAACTCCTTCAACTTTGTTAGAGTTTTGTGAATAGATTTATTCCCAGCTCCAGAAGATGTATCCGTGAGTACGTACGTACAAGAATGACGAATCTCGTGTGAATGTTGACGGGAATATGGTTGGGTTGAATAGCGAGCGGAGCTTCTGACGAATTACTCGGGTGGCGGTGCTCTCTCGGCATTGCATCCCGGTCATCGGCGCATGACCCTCCGTCATCTCCCCATTCGTCCCCAAGAGCTCAACCCTCCGACGCGTATGCCAGATTTATATACCAAGCATCTTCCCTCACTTCCATGCCACTCATTGATCCCGTTACAATGTCCGCCACCACGAAGACGACACCGGCGGGCACCCCTCCAGTAAAGCCGTCTCTCCCAGTTGAACTTCTCCCTAACGATTTGGCGCGAATCATCTCCCAAGCCCACCCGGTTGTCCTGCTGGCAGGATTCTATATACGATTTCCGGCTTTGGTAGAAAATCCAGCTGCGACACTACTAAGCTCGCTATTGCTGGTGTCTCTAGTACAAATCGGCTATGTAATACTCTGTCTCCCACCTACAGGGCAAAGTATCAAGCCCGCAAAGAAAGTAATTGGAGCCAAAAAGACGAACGATGGCACGACGCCAGTCGCAAGACCATTGGTACATCCCTCTCCAATTGAAATCCGCATATTATACACTAACCATAACCACAGACCGCATTCTTCGCCCTCATCATGTCCCTCGCCTCCATCCCCCTTCTCACAGCCCTGCAAATCCTCTTCGGGGCACCCATCTCAACACATCTCCTGCACACCATCCTCACCTCGTCGCACGTCGCTCTACTAGTCATGTTCCCACTAGTCTATGTCCACGGCGCCGATGGCAAGAAGTGGAGGGAGATTGCCTCGTTTTATAGCCCGATGGATGAGGTGTTTGGGGGTGCGGTGGGGTGTTTTCTCGGCGCTTGGTTGGGTGCTGTGCCTATTCCTCTGGATTGGGATCGGGAGTGGCAGAAGTGGCCCGTTACTATTGTTACGGGGGCGTATGCGGGGTATATGGTTGGGAAGATGGCGGGTGGGTGGTTGGTTAAGGGGAGGAGGATTGAACTTAGTTAGGTGAAAGGAATCAGATGGTAATTTGTCTTGATATGATACCCTCGCTTTGGCTCAATGGGCGTTTCTGGCTCATAAAAATCTGGTATTTCAATTCTATTTCCTCTTGTCTATCTTATTTCTTTCTTGTGATTCCATCTCTCTATATGTTTGCCATTTATAGATATTGGAGATGAATCAATGGCTGTATCAACAACCATTACACTCGTAATAATCCTGCGCAAGTTTCTCGCAGAATTATTCCCATTCTCTTACAAAGGAGCAACTTCTTGCCCTGTTTCATTTTCATTTCATCAATCTCATTTCAAATTTCTCCTCCCAGCCCTAGAGGACACAAGCCCTGTAGAATACCATTCGCTTATTCTTCCTCCTTTCCAGAAGCGTTTATTTAGTAGTCCTAAGCTTCGATCTTCCGTTACTCTTTTCGTGTATTAGGGATTATCGCAATGTTTTCTCATGCCTTGTGTGTAATTGTTTGAACCATTTAGGTTAAGAAAGAACTACGTAAGTTAGTCAACCTTGTTAATTACCTTCCTAGGTAGTAATATTTGTTTGACTTTGTAGGTTTTTTTTAGAATGATCTTGTTTTCGATGTTTGTAGGTACCTACGGAGTGTCGGGTAATGGCAATCTACCGTTACAATATGCATGCGACTTAATTTGGCTAATTGGGGATTATTCCTTCCTGTCTGCCTGTTTGGTGAACGTGCCAGTAGTTCCTGCCCAATGATGAGGCTTGATATGTATGACAGCGGGGTCAGGGAAGGAATGACTACCTACGATGCATACAAGCCTACCTCGCTACCTACTTACCCATTCTGCTTCCACCAGCTTCCACTCTATGATAACCATGAAACCCCGCTACACCCACCCAGTCCTCAAATCGTCCTCAATCCTTTTCAACTCTACGCCATATTCGAAATTCTGCAATGCTTGATAGCTTTCAACAGAGCAACAGGTGGTAAGATGACGAGCATATCTGGAAGCGAAGATGCGTCTGGGAATGGTTCACACCAGAGACTCTCTCAGCGCCGACGTCTGAAAGCGAGTCCTCCGGCTTGTCCCGTATGCCTCGATCTTAGACCAGATCTTCTGCAGACGTATCATGAAGGACCAACTTTGACCACAAGATGTGGAAGTGTATTTGAGCAAAATTCATGCCGCATTTGTCGGTATATCACCGATGCGATTTTGCAACTATCAAAGCCACTAGTGGCTGATCATGTGGATCTTATACCTTCTCTACATCCCATAGAGCTCGAAGTCGTTCTTCACGAGGGATATAACACAGAAGTCAAGGTTTCCATACTCGGGTTCGACTTATCCGTCGAAATATTTGCTCTCACTGGTCAGACAATACTCCCCTCCTTCTGTGCAACCGAAGTTAACACACTCACAAAGGATTCTCTTCCCCTGTATTCGCCTTTGAGGACGCACCTGATCGGCCTGCGGTACTTGATATCACCACTTGCACTCAATTCATAGAGAGATATTTAGAGGAGTGTGAAGAAGACTCACATTCATGTTGTGAGTCCGAAGTTTCAGAGATGCCAACTCGATTGTTGTTCATTGGATCAACTGGCTCTCCTTGTTTGAAGCTCGTAGAAGCACCATCGACTAAGCAGAAATATGTCGCCCTGTCGCACTGTTGGGGAGACCAGTCGGGAATTCTAAAGACAACCAAATCTACCCTTGAAGAACGACTCCTCGACATTTCCTGGAATTCTCTGTCGAAGACCTTCCAGGACTCAATACAAATCACTCGCTCCTTAGATATCAAGTTTCTATGGATTGACTCGCTGTGTATTGTTCAGAATGACCCCTCGGATTGGGAGAAGGAGACCGTGAAAATGGCCCAAATATATTCCCAGGCGTACTTGATCATTGCAGCAGCCAGTGCCTCGTCTGGGTCCATGGGATGTCTTTCTCAAGGTTTTCTCCGGAACTTGGGGACAAATCCATTTCCACCGTTCGCCTTCGGCACGAAAATGACCCGTGTGGCCACGCAATCCATGCTCGTTACACCTCTCAAGCCCATTCTAGTTTCGGCCGCGGTCATGGGACCGTACCACTATAGCCTCGGGCGTGGGGTTTTCAAGAAAGATATCTTTCTCGTCGCACAATTCATTTTCACGCCGAAGAGATGATATGGGACTGTCGAGAATCCAGGTATTGTGAGTGCGGCTATTACGCTTGGAGAGAGGATTACGGATTAGGCGATCTAGATCACTTAGTCTCTCATGTTTGGGATACTGACCGGCTAAGAACTTCCTTATCTAAAGTTTTTCGACGATAGTTAACACGAAAGAAAGCTTTCATAACATGGCTTCAAGCAATCGAAATATTCGCGGAAATGGACATTACATATCAGTTGGATAAGCTGTCTGCATTGTCCGGAATTGCAAGCTATTTGGTTCCTGTGATGAAGAGTCATTGTATAGCCGGGATTTGGGAATACAAAATGGCCACTGGACTGATGTGGAACAATAAAAAAGGTTGCGCAAGGGGTCGAAGGGTTGAGAATACAGCGACACGATATATACCGACGTGGTCGTGGGCATCTTTGGAGAATGATTCACAGAAGAGCATAGAAATGCCTATAATTAGGTTGAGTTCGGGGCCTGTTACCAAGGATGCTGCCTTTTCTTGGACAAGCTTCCAAGCAGCACAATGGAAAGTCGTTTCATTCTTGACGATTGACGACGCGGTTTTACGAGTCAAGGGTCTCTGTATATCTTGCATAACAGAACCTGGCTGTCCTCAGGAAATAAATACGGCAGACTTCGGGGTGGCGAATAGCTTATCTTTCCGCGATCAAATCGCTGGGGATTTCTACAGAGACCTTTACACGAAGTCACTGCCAAACGAGGTTATTTGTATCTTGCTCGGCGAGGGGGAGGTGACTGGGAGAATTTTCCTTTTCAATTTGCTATTGTTCTCGAGTCTTGCGGACCGACAATGCCGGGACGGTATAGGAGAATAGGGCTTCTCGAAATTGAACGCTACTATGAATGGTTTAAAGACGCAGAACTGAGGTCTTTAGAGATTATTTAGAGGTTTGTTTCATCACGGTCAGCACGAGGTGGTTTGTATTTTGGCGTCTTGTTTCTTAAATATATCACCTACAAAACTATGAAGGTCTGAGAATTAATGAATGGCATCTCTCCTCTAACCAAGAAGGAACCAAAATCACAAGATGTCTACTTTGTCTGTCTTTCGAAATCATGGTCTCCAGTCTGGTAAGCGGACTACCTTACTAAGCGACTCGAGATCCCCAAGTATATTTATATCTTTTCGTATAGGGAGTGTCGCATTACTAAAAGACAACCCTATGATATCCTGATAAAGGAAGCGAACGAAGTCTAACTATCTATCAAAAGTTACAAGAAGTAATCCCCTCGTCGTCCCACCTTGCTTGTATACTTTAATCCAAATACTCATTCCGAAAGTTAGAGAAATTGAGAATCCCAACTCGGATATTGGAGTGATCGAGCATATTAGGAGATTTAGTATAGCCGTGTTGATTACTTGTAGGAATTAGGATAATGAGAGGTATTCACTGCGGATTCTTTTGTTTGCGTATACTGATCATGAGGAGAGGTGATTTGTGGTACCCACGCAGGAGGGCAGGGGAGCAGGGATTGTGTCCTCGCTTAGCTTGTTTGGAGGATGTTATAACACCACGTGTATACTCCGTGGAATAGGAGTAGCTTTAACAATTTGGATTTAAGGCTATAGCCTCTTTAAGTTTTAGTTTTTCTTGGTGTTGCGATATATCCACCACTTTTATCACGTGGATATCGGAAAGCTTAGCATATACGAGTACTTATAGCTAGTACTCGTCCTTTCTATAATATTAATCAATCAACTATTATACTAACTTTTATATGCCTTTGTTACTACTGTTTTGAACCTTATTTACGAGTATCTCTTGTACTAACACTGATTAGTAAGCGTGCATAGATTAGAGAGATTACTACCGTAAGTTTAGGTAGTATACGATAATCTCCTATATTATTGTCTTTAATACTTGACCTCATGATTAAGCTATTCGAGTCCTTTAAAGTATAACAATTGTACTCGAATATCAATCGGACTCGTACTCGATCTCGGACTCCTACGAGTATATAATTATTACCTATTAAAGCCTACCGCTATAAAAGGTTTAAGGATATACCTGTCACGAATCACGTGTTAGCATGTGACGAGTTAGTCCAAACGGCGTTCTGACAGGACAGATACATCCAGAGTAGTTATATCATAGCAGTGGTTACTCAGGGTTGTTGAGTATCCAAGGATTTCATAGCATTCATAGTCACGTGATAAAAGCGCGACAGCGCGACAAGCGAATTGTCGCGCGCGACAGCACGACGAGCGCGCTGTCGACATTTGGGATTTGGAGAACGAAGGTTCTATATAAGACTGGCATGTCTGCCATTAGATAGGAGCTTCGTGCTCAACTTAGTTATCAATCTTATCATATTAGTTTGACATCTTTGATACAAGTAACGAGTTCACTTCCAAGTGAACAACCCGATAGTCTTCTTCTTATCATAGCATACCAACCAGCGAACACCCAGCCAAGTTTAGTTAGCCAGTTTGAGTATTCGTTACACGTACCTAGTATAAATATAATCTTAAGGGCTATTATATAGTAAAAGGTAATTAAGGAAGTAAGACGCTATTATATAATATACTAAGTATAACGTATATTAAGTAGTTGAAATAGGCTAATTACCTTATACCTAAAAGGGCTACAACTTTTATACCTTATACGCGTATAACGCGAAAAGGGTAGCTAGATAAGCCTATATCTACTTATTAAAATAGAAGATAAAAATATAATTATTAGGCTACTAAGCCTAAAAGGGGATATACCTTTTCGATCTATAGTAGTTCGCTTATATTATAAAGAAAAGATAGACCCGGATAGTACTAATAAAGATAATTTTATTATTATTAACCCCTCTAAATTAAGTAACGAACTATTTCTTACAAGAGTACTAAGTCCAAGGCCCTCTAAAACAAGCTTTAATAATATAGTAAAACCTACTAAACTACTACTAGGATCCGCTAGTACTATAGTAAAACTACCTATAACTATAAAGCTCTAACTAGAGACTACTAGTAAGCGACCTAGGGGCCGGCCTAGGAAGTACCTGTGACGACACGTACGCAAGGCCCACGGTGTAGGTTGTGGAATCGTAGAACTGTCAATTAAACAAAGATTCTAAGCTGAGGAGAAGAGGAGAGCTCGAGAGAGCTTCGATCTAGATACTTGGTGTGGGTCGCTAAGCGAGACCACGTGATCCGAATGGTGGTGACGGTTAGAACCGTCACAGTACCTACTTATAGCCGAAACTTTTATTACTTTTGAATCTCGAACTCCTAATAGTAAATTAAGTACTATAGACCTAAAAGATATTAAGGGTTTCGAGGAGCTTAAATCCTTTAAACTAATAGATCTTTTAGAAATACTACTAAATATTATAATATTCGGTTCTAAATTTATTTATAATATAAAAGACCAAGGTATAGTAAAACAATATAATAAACCAAGGCTTATTATTTAGGCCTAGGGTAATAAAGAGAAATAATCTCTAATAACGTAATTACTTATAATTTAATATATAAGCTAGAGACTTATATTAAGTCTAGCTATAATTCTTTAACTACTTTTATACGAATACAATATATAATAAGTATATCTCTATACTAACGAACGACTTATAAGGTAATTTTATATATACCCTCATATAAATCTACTTATTCTATAATATTAGGGTAAAATACTCGAGGCTAAATAGCTATAGTATAGTATACTAGAAGCGGGTATATTTTAGTATACCTACTATTTAAAATACTATATAGAGTAATTATATATAGAATTATTAACCTACGACTAATAATTGTTCTTTATAAACGAATTAGATATAATAGAAGCCTTTAGTATAGTAGGATTATAAACTAACGATTCTCTAATACTAGCGAATACTCTATTTACTAAACGCGAAGAAGTAGAATTTACTACTACGACTCTACTACTTAAATCTAAGCCCCGTAAGGCTCTTATAGTATAATAACCTATAGACTTTAATAGAAGCTATATTATACTCTAATAAGACGGATCGATCATTCTTATATAAAAGAATAAAATAAAAGATCGATTAAGGCTTATAATAACCTAGGATTATAAGGCGCTTTAAGCCCCTAGTACCTATATATCGAGCGTATATTAACCTAAGGCGGTATACGATTTATCTTTTACTACGTAGATTATAAATCCGGATATTAGAGACGTAGATTAACTTAATAAGTAATTATAATAGTAAATTAATTATAAAGACTAAGGGTTAAAGTTTATACCTTTATAACCTAGTACCCTAAAATTAGTCTACTTTATAGACGGATCCTTTATAAATAACCTAGATATAACGTCTTAGCTTAGTTCGGTACTAGTACTAATAAATAGTACTAGATATACTAATATTTTATACTAGAATTCGTTAAAGTATAAGAGAGTTACCTAAAGCGTTCTAGTATTAGAACTATACGCTTTAAGCTAGGGATATAATATAGCTATATATATTAAAACTATCTTAATATAGTACCTTAGTTATTATATTCCGCTTAAAATGTATATTAATTCGAAATCTATATTCGATTATATTACTAAATTAGGAACTACTAAAGAGAAGAGGCTAATAATTAATATAATATACCTATATAACGTATTTAAAACAAGGGATATTAATAATATCTTGTAACGAATACTCAAGCTGGCTAACTAAACTTGGCTGGGTGTTCGCTGGTTGGTATGCTATGATAAGAAGAAGACTATCGGGTTGTTCACTTGGAAGTGAACTCGTTACTTGTATCAAAGATGTCAAACTAATATGATAAGATTGATAACTAAGTTGAGCACGAAGCTCCTATCTAATGGCAGACGTGCCAGTCTTATATAGAACCTTCGTTCTCTCGATGTTCGCTTGTTCGACAATCGAACTGGCTAACTTCGCCTGTTCGCCCGGCTAACTGGCGAACTCCTGATATCACGTGATAACAATACAGAGAAATCCCTGGATCGCTTAGCTACTCCAAACGATCCCTATTTGCTATAAGAAACCTGGATGTGCCTGTCGAGGGTTGCGCCTCTTATTATGACAGGTATCACGTGAACACGTGATTCGTGACATATCTCCTTAATAGAGGAGAAGGATAATCCGGCTAATTTAATAACTAAATTAAAGTTAAATAGCGCCTTAAAACAACTAATCGATATAAACTATATTAAGATTAATAGAGTCGGATAGGTAGAACGGGATTAAAGAGCGTACTATTTTATTATTATTATATTATTGTTTTTATAGTTATTTGTAGAGTTATTTTATACTTTGTTATTTACTGTTTTTCGGCTATTTTAACTACTTTGTAAAGTACTCCTAGTATTACAATATATCCACCACTTTTATTACGTAGATATCGGAAAGCTTAGTATATATAAGTACTTATAGCTAGTACTCGTCCTTTCTATAATATTAATTAATTAACTATTATACCAACTTTTATATACCTTTGTTACTACTGTTTTAACCCTTATTTACGAGTATCTCTCGTACTAACACTTGGTATAACTAGGGCTTTTATTTTTTTGATATAATATAATAAAAGTTGTTCTTTCTTCTTCCCCTATTATAAGAAACTCGACACATACGGCATCCCGAATCTATTACTAAACCAGATGACCAAATCGTAAATCGCAAAAGTCTTATATTTACTACTACTACCTACTATTATAACTATACCCCCACACCCCCACCCTCGCAAAAACTTCACAGCCTTGAAGATTTCGCGTGCACACTCGCTACCCTCGCTGTCGTCCCCCTCGCTATCGTATAAGGGTTGTGCCCTAGTATGTTATTTAGAAGAGATAGAGAGAGGGGGGTGCGGGAGGGGTAGCGGAGGGGACAGAAGCGGGGAAATATTTTCGTGCGTGTCGCTTATTTCTAGCCCCTAATACCACCTTCCTAAAGAGGCTAGGCTAGCACGTGTTACGCTAACAATTGTTTACTAGTTGCCTATCCTCTCTCTCCCTCCTACTTTCTCTTCTCTTTCTTTACAACAACTCTTTACGACAACTCTTTACGACAACCCTTTACGGCAACTCTTTACGACAACTCTTTACGACAACTCTTTACGACTACGATAGTAATACCGAGAATAGGGGGTATTTGTTTGCCCCCGGGGGAGGGCAGGGGGTCATAAAAAAACGTACGAGAGCGGGGGTATATAGTTAGCACGTCCGAGACATGTATTGGGGCGAAAGGGGGGAGGTAGGAGAGGGGAGGTAAGTAGGGAGAGCTTTACTAAGAGGGGCACCAGGGGGCGTAAAAGGGCAGACCTACGGACTTGTAATTACACTATACGAAATAACTTTGACTGATCCGACTTTATTAGCTGGCTCTGCCTGTTATAAAGTGACTTTTACGATTTGCGATTTGGTCATCTAGTTTAGTAGTAGATTTGGGATGCCGTAGCTACGGCATCCTGGATATACTAAAAGGCCAAATAGAGGAAATACTAATTCGCAAATCGCGAATCGCAAAACTTATATATTCACTACTACTGTGCTAGAGTGCCTATACCCCCACACCCCTACACCTCTAAGTACTTGGGGCCTGATTATATAAACTCGCCACCTACTGTCGCACACCCTCCCTGTCGCCTACCCTTACACCCTTACTGTCGCCTACCCTTGCTGTCGCATCCTTACTGTCGTATCCTCACTATCGTATAGTCACTGTCGGATAGGGTTGTGCCCTAGTATGTTGTTTAGGGGAGGGAGAGAGAGAGAGAAGCAAGGAAATATTTTAGTTATATATGTCGCTTATCCCTAGCCCCGAATACTACCTTCCTAAAACGGCTAGGCTAGCACGTGTTACGCTAACAATTGTTTGCTACTAAGGCTACCTACCTTCGCGTCCCTCGCTCTTCCCAGCTCTCTCTTCTCTAATACTTACGACAGCGATAATAAGAATACGATAGCAAGGACGCGACAGTAAGGATACGGTAGTAAGGATACGGCAGTAAGGATACGACAGTGAATATAAGACAGTGAATATAAGACAGTAAGTATAAACAATAGTAAGCGTGAGCAACAGTAAGCGTAGGCGACAGTGAGGGTAGGAGTAGGTAGAGTTAAAGGAGCGTTAGAGTTAAATTCAAGCTTATTTACTTATATATATCGAGTGCTTTCGCCTCTAATTCCAGCGCTGTCATATAACCCTAACCCTGAGCCAGTTTGCGATTTGCGCTTTGCGAATTAGTATTTATTCTATTCGACTTTTAGTACATGCAGGATGCCGTAGTAGCACATAGGGTCATAAATGAAATCCGATAATTACGGCAAAGGTAGAACGAAGATCGAGATAGAGCTTTTACATGTACATTCTTGAAACCACTTCTTAAACGTATCCCACGCCGCCATATATCTAGCGCTCTCTGCTGCTTTCACCCATGTCTCTCTCTCTCCTTATCATTTTAAAGAAGGTTTTGAACCAAGTTATCTGCTCATCACTTACGTTCCTGCAGGTTATTTAAAAGCTACCCACTATTCCTCAAGGGAATTTCGGTAGCAGGCTTACAGTCTACGATTCTACCCTATGCCTTGATCCAAATACAACTTCTTCGTTGTTCTTTTGAGAAATAGAGAATGCTGTAGGAAAGAATAGGGGTCTTTTACCGCTTTTGAAAAATTTACATATCGTAAAGTCCCCTCTCTGAAATTCATTAGTTCTTAATTCCGATACTCAATTTCAATATAAATGACGAAAGACAGGTGGTATTGGTGGTCATAGACACAGCAAAGTATTTACTTCAAACCAAGTGAATCAGGTTGTTAGTCGGTATCGTGATCTTCAGGAGGTTTCTAGCATACTAGCAGGCAACGATATAGGTTTTGGATTGGGGTAATATTCCTGTGATGTCCGTTCAACGAATTAGGATTTTACAAAGAAACTCGACATGGATTTTCTGCGCTGGTTATATATTATGTTACCGTTAAATTAACTAATGAACTAACGTTGGATACAACTGGCCCAGAGGTTTGTACTGTGAGCTAGTACAGAGAGGCCGACAAGTTCGGGCTCGGAAAGCGAATGAAACCCCACCGAGACACGAGATTGATTTGAGCAATATCTCGATGCAAAAATAAGTCAACCATTTTGATATCTCATCCTCCAATTCTGAACGCCATTGCTATGCAAATTTCCCCGTTCAACGCCAGATCCCTATTATCAGTTTTCCTCAAGCCCGACCAACCCTGAATGAGAGGATCTGAAAGAATTAGTATTGGCATGGGTGGAACTTGACCAGATGACTTACATCATTCTTCCCAATACTAACCAAATCATCTTCTGAAACTCTCACGCCACCAGCGCCCTCAACATATGCCAATGGCGCATCACCGATAACCTTCCTTGCACATTCAGCGACAGTGGTGCCTCTCTTGACTAGAACGCAGTCTCTGAAAACTGCGTTACTGCCACTCGCACCGCTGGAGAAACTCGAGACATTCCTCACGGGAAAGACAGGTACTAATCCAAGTAATTCTGCTGCTCGAGAAAGAACCTGCACGACTCCTGTAGAACCAAATCGGTAGAGTACCATATCTTTAAGATTCTCTAGCCTGGTTTTCAGTTTCTCGTCCATTTCTTTCAACCCACCCCCTTCTGGATCGCCATCAGCGATGAGATCTTCTCTTGTGTCTACGAATTCTGATCCTTCGTTGTACTTGATAAAGCCTTGTTTGGCTAATTTTCGAAGGAAGATTTCGGAAATAGCAGAACACAGAACGATGGATTTTGGATCTTGCATTTTTGCAATCTTGCTGATATTCTTGTCCGCATCGGCATGATCAATTTTGTTAAGCGCAATAACGGTTGGGAATTTCTCGTCAGTAAACGCGTTTACAACTTTGGAAACAGTCTCGTCACTCCAATGCTCGAGGGGCTCCTTCAGTGCCATTTTTTCCAGCGTTCTAGCAATGACTGCAGATGTTGATCCATATCCCGAAAATTGCCCTTGGAGAGTTTCAACCGCCGTAGCCTTTACAGCAATATGTCGTCTCTTAATGGAACCCCATTTCTGCATCAAATTTCCGAGAATCCATTGTACGATTTCGGATCGCAACCAGACGATATCTTGTGAAGGATCGTATCCTCTTGTCGCTTTCCCTTCGGCGTCTGTTGTTCCACTCACATCTACCACATGTACGAGCGCATCAGCATGTCGCAAATCGTCCAAGAATTTATTTCCCAGCCCTTTTCCCTCGTGCGCTCCCGGTACCAGACCCGCAACGTCCAGAAGCTCTATGGGAACAGATCGTCGTCCTTCAATGCATGCGCCATAGTTCGGTTTACATCTATAGGAGACATTGAAGCGGGCGCAAGGGCAGTCAATCTGCAGATATCCGATCGCGCGCTGGGGGTCTATTGTTGTGAAGCTGCCATAATTATCAGTACTTTGGAATGTGCCAGTTGTGTGGTTCGGCAGGTCTTTCTTACGGAAAATTACCTACAGGACTTGTGAGCGCAAGTTCGAATATTGGAGACGGACCGCATTTGGTTTACCCACCAACTTTGGAGGAGGCATCAGTCAGACTGTTGAGTGTTGAGCTCTTGCCTGACGAGGGCTTGCCTACGAGGCCGATGAGAGGCTCTCTTCCCATCTTCAATAGGTGGATTGGTGGTTGTGAAGGAGGCTATCTTGCAATGCGCCCATCCTCTTTTTTCCTTGGTGTGCAGTGATGATGATGGTGGGGGTGAGATACGATGGCGGCTAAACTCCGGCTCAACTCAAGTGGGTGTGATGGGGTCCCCCTTTTGCAGACCACACTCGCGATTGAGGTAGCGAGATACTCGGATTTAAACAGATATGGGCAAACTCTAACCTTTTAAGCAAAGGTACATTATTGTAGAGATGCTTTCACTTCATCACTTTATGATATTCGAAAATAGAAATGTATCAACCTAAGTTTCCCTACCCTCAAAATAAGGCAATCATTTTCACAAGCATTCGATAAGTATATCATTCCAGGACAGATGATTTATTCCTTATTAGTTATTCCCTTTACCTATCGCGCTATTCATGTTCTCCAGGTGTAATTTCCGCCTCAAGAAACGATTCCTCCACATCAATCACCATTTTTTCGTGCCTCTTGTTCACCATAACCTCGCTTGGCCAAGCTTTCACCTAGAAAAGTAGAGATCTGCATCGTATATCGGATAACCTCCTCATACAGCCCGCTTCCAAAGGAGCTTAAGGACAGGAGGAGGCGAATTTTTTCCTTCAGCAGCAAGCCGAAGGTCCTTTGGCCATTTTCCTACCTTCTTGAGGTTAAGTTCCTTGACAGTCTCCGAGACGAGATCTGCAAACTCGTGTTCATCCTTGGCGTCCATGAGTAGCTTGATGAATAACTTGCGAATTGTGGTATTATTAGATTTGCGAAGATTCAAGAGGATCGTTGCCACTAGTTGGAAGTCTGATTGGCGAATCTCAATGGAAAGTTCTTCAATTGGGGCCTTGAATAGTAGGTTTGTGCGTTGGGAAAGCAGGGCCGCTGCGGGGGGAAGTTTACTATAGATTGTCAGTTCATGCTCCATAATCCGCATGCCACAACACCAAAAAGCGTAGAGACTTACTCAGACGTGACAATAATCGAGACCACTTTGATGTTCTGGAGAGCGGCCAAATTAAGATTGTTGAGAAATCGGACCCTGCGGTTTCTCTTAGCATTTACTCTAACTTCAACTTTGCCAGTTTCGTTGAGTAGCTTAAGCATCTTACCCACACGATTCTTGCCCTCGATCTCATTTGGGTTGAGAGAGAATTCTTCGACGAAACCTGGGGGGTAACAGGCGTCAAAACGTGTAGTCCATTTTGGTCCAAGACTCTTCTTTCCTTCACCTTTGCGAGGGGTCGGCTTGTTCTTGTCGTTTGCGCTCGAGCCAGCAGTTGCAGTTTGCTTCACATTTTCATCTGCCAAACTCAAAGTGGCAACCTAACCTTCAGGAGTTGTTGTATCAGGTGAATAATTCAAAGTAAAGCCTTGGACGTTGGCATTCTGGACAACTACAACCGTGCAGGTCTTGCCATCTTTTGAGATATCTACCTTTACAACGGGCTCCTCGGTAGTAGTATGTGAAGAATTGGCTTTGGCAGCTGGTGTATCAGTCGATGGAGTGGGAGTTACAGCGCGAATTGATGCAATGCTGTCTACTTCTCCTGAATCTGCTGTTGTAGAGTCGGGAGTTGAGAGAGTGCTCCACTCAGACTCGGATTTATTGTCTTCGCTCATCTAAGTCACGATTAGTCGAAAGTAATCAGGCAAAAATCAGGATAGAGGTTACCATGCTGATTGGCTTTTTTGAAGATGAGACTGTGGTATTTGTGTTGAGGTTGCAAGATTCACTTTCGCGAGATCGAGCCTTGCCAGTTTGAAGAAGGGAAGAGCACTTGGGAAAGAAGAGGTGGGGAAGTTATAACTTTGAAAACGCCAAGAATGAAGCCTGGGGCGGAGAACTTCTGGAGTGCAGGTACCGGTTGGCTCTCCGTATGAGTGAATACGTGTCTCTCTTAAGGGGGGACCTTGAAGAAGACTTAAAGCATGCGGTAACAGGAGAATACTAAAGTGGCTTAGAGACCTCGGCCTTCCTCTGCGTATATCTCAAATACTTATTGTAGAGTCCTTGTGGACCGAATAACTCAATTCATGCTCAGTGATTAGATCAACGAAGAAACGCACCAGTCTAATGTTCTAAACTGCTGATATAGAGTTTCAATGTCGCGAGTAACGAGTTCTGATGCAAGGTTATTTTCCATCAGATATCAGGTCCTGGTAGTGTCTTATGATTGAGAGTAAGTCGAGCTAACTTTCCTAATTTTGAGCCTTAAAACAATCTCTAGTTGAAAAGTGCCTTTTCCTTTCTCAAGTAAGCTTAAATTGAGGAAAGATTTCCAAAGAAGACTTGAAGTCGCGTGCATGTCCCCTTTCGCCAGGCGAATGATTTCTGGTAGATATTACCTAGGCGGGACCTTAGCAGCCAGTGAGAAGGCTAGGTCTATACAATTCCATTGTCAGGAGAGCTCAAGCGAGTTTCGTTCTTTGTTCCATGTCTTGGCTAAGAGAAAATGTTCAATGAAACAAAACAATTCTTTGTGCTCATCCTCTGTCGACAACAAGCTGTTTACCTTGTTTTTTCCCTTCTATAAGAACCGGTGGCTTTCCAGAAGTTTTCTGCTCATCACACTTATTAACTTCTTAACACAAGGTTAATTAATCTGCAGTATCTTGAACTATTACAGACATTGTGAAAAAGAAGATTCGGAAAATGGCAGGAAGCATTACAGAGATAAGCATGGATTACGATGCATACGCAGAATATGATTCCTGCTCTACGTGGGAATTCAAAGGTAAGTGGCAGCATCCCAATGGAATCGAAAGTACGTTTGAGCTTTCGAAAGGTTTCGGTTCTTCTAAGACTAGCAGTGATGAGAGTAGTATCTTGATAGCAGCAGGGGACAGCAATGTTCTACTGCTCTCAGAAATCAAGTCTTTGACCATCCATCAGACAGAGTTAGGAACGACTTCCACGTGGGAACGAAGATTGTTCGCGGGTTTGATACCTTTTGATTATCTTTCGGCCTCTGAGCAGATGGAAGTTTACGAAGACCACGACATGGTTGAATTAGCCCTTTTCGCCAATTTAGAAGCGCGAACTGTCGCGGATCAATCTTTAGGTTCTGGGGGTATGTACAGCCAGACTGAACTCCCAGAAACGACATTTTTAAGAGGCCAGAAAAACCTTATAACACGTCTGCGACAGAAGATGGGGAGCGAAAGGGTTGAAGCTGGCGAGTGCTGGTTAAAACGGCCGATTGAGATTAGATGGGTCACTGAAGTCAGAGAGAGAGGAGCCCGACATGACCAGTTCTCTTGGAAAAATCGTGACGTCTTCCTCCGAGGACCAAGAAATCGTCGCAGATGCGATTGAAGAGATCCAAAACGTCATGAATTTGCACTCTCTGTCTCCATTGGAGACCGGTATTGACCAAGACTTGAAAAATCTCTTTCCGGCTCCAATCATGGCACCTAGTTCTGGGACTCGCTTGGGTGGGCTTCTTAGTAGATTCCGAGATCGGCTCTTCTAGATTCACTCATGGCTTTCTCTGGCCGTGACAACGTAGAATATGGGGTTCTGCCTTGGCCTTGGCCATGGTAGTAATCGGTAATCCATAACACAATAGTGTTTTCAAAAATCCTAGCCCAATGTAATAACAGAAGTTCCTCCTTTGAAAACAAATACAATGTAATTTAAATTGAAATAAAAGTAAGCATTTCTCCGCTTATCTGGTGGTTATTGCCAAGGCTATTAAGGGAAATTAAGTATTACAAGTCTAGTAAACGAACTTGTCATAACGACCTAACGATAGTGTTATCATGTGAGATCTCTTCTCAAACTTATTAGTGCATTAGAGATATAGATTTTATTCTGTAGTATAATTTCAATGTCTCCCCGATCCCCTCACCGCTTCAATAGTACTTATCCCTGTACTATCACTTCGGCGCCTTGGTCTTGCATTCGTTGATATGATGAGAATTTTTTGGAGTTTAGTTTCGAAGTTCAATATAAGGTTCTGATACGCTGAAAAGTCCCACAGGCTCCTACAGTACATTGACTTGATATAATACACCGATCCAACAAATCAAAACCTGCCATAGTCTTTTCTCATGTCAATCTACTTCCTGTCATGCGAGTTACGTAGATTGTGGCCCGTTGCTGTACCCACTGATGTACTGATGTAACTCTGAACGTGGGGTGATCGACAGGCTGAGATATCCGACTTGTGCTAATTCGCCTTGCATTAACCAGATCAAGCACTGTATCGGAGGAAGTATCACTATCTTCAGAGAGTAGATTATTCAGGAAATTTTGGTTGAGATTAAGGTCATTTTAGCGTCACTGGAATACGGAATTTAAAGAGTGTCGTATACTTGTTCTCATCATTATAGTGTTACTGGGTACTGAGTTATTACAAGTCGATTCAGCATAAGTCGAATGTTCATATGTCATTCCAGCCCTGTTCAGACGCTACTGTAACATCAGCCTCAGGGGCGTTCATCCTTCCGACACTGCGCTTTCGGCGCCCCAATTTGGTTCCGCTCAGCTGCATGAAAGTGGAATTTGGCAAAGGTTGTAAAAATATATTCAAATTGTTAGCTGCAAAAGCTTTTGGTGAACTGTTCTTATATTTAAGAGCGGTTTTCTTTTTGTCGCACAGTACGTCCACTTTGATCCTAATCGCGAAATATGACGCTGAAGGACGTTCAGATAGATATCTTGAACAGATAGAAAAAGAAAACATCTAGAAATACTTATGAGACGGCGTAGAGGAATGCCACCCCGGCTATCATGCCTATATAAGTATTCTTTTGCGGCTCTCGTTGTTTGGACAGGAACGTATGATATGATTCTGCAGCGTTGATATGGGCGGAAAGCGGCCAGACTTTAGAAACGGCGCAGTTCCGAATGAGGCAGTTGTGTAAGGTTACGTGCTATAACCCCTCTTCTCTAATGGCCGTCCCGTCCAGAGAGCTTCCCTATCTCGCAACCATTCTCAGCCAATAATAAGTATTGAGGACCGGGTGATACATATGCCTTGCATTCTTCTCTCAGTTGGAGAATGCGCCTGGCCAAGTCTTGTTTTTAAGAAGCGTAAGTTTAGGACCTTGAAGTGTTGGACATTTTGACGAAACAACAACCTTTCAAACTATGTCGTGTTCTGCCGATTCTCCTAGGTCATCAACCATTCCAAACAAAAAGAACAAAAAGCTTCGTGCTTCTTGTGACGCATGTAACGAGTCCAAAGGTCGTTGCTCGCAAACAAAGCCAACCTGTGTGAGGTACGAGAAACAGGATATCCAATGCATATATGGCCTCTCACGACGTACACACAAAGACGCTCCACGGGTTGGGGCTCCAGTTAGCAGTAGTTGGAGGAATTCTATAAGCTCTGGATTGGTTCAGCAAGAGCCTACACCGGCGGAAACATCTCAACACTCCCAGTCGGAAGAGTCAATATTCGCATCTTTGGACTTGGCCCATCAGAGAACCGATACCTTCATTTTTTCACCCATCCTTGATCTATCATCCTACGAGACAGATACCTCCATGACTGCGCCACCTAACTCAGGCGCGTTCTTGGATATGACAAACAACTCCGACACACAGGTCCACCGAGAGACGGATTGCTTCAACCTACCTCCTATGTTGCAACTATCGCCCTTTCATATAGATTCTACGATGATGACACCCCTTGATTATGGCGACATTCCGTCTCTTTTCAATTCTTCGTCTGATGATTCGAGCACAACTATTAATTCCACTCCACCTTCCACGGAACCTAACTCCAAAAGAAGGGTGACAGCCGCAATACAAGCATTGTAGAGCTACATGTACTTCTGTCCAGAACATTACTGCTTAATGAAAATTCGACCGTTTCATTTGATGTTCACCTGACTGAGCTGAAAAACGCCATTAAAGTGTGCGATGTAAGCATCAGATCCGAACATGCCCTGCGTGACGAAATGACAATTTGTAATATCCCTGTGCTCCTTCCAAACACGGTAACTGTTTGCTGACAAAGCCATAGTAACTGTCGGCATACTAGTATATCAAACCATCCGTGGGTTTGAGGCCACGCTACCAACGGGAATACCGGAACCGCGAAAGATGGTAACCGAGGGCGGCCCCCCTAGGTTTTCATGGGGGGTGTTGCAGATCGAGGACGAGGATGAGGATAATCTGAAGCAACATCTGTGGCTATTGCATTTCCAGAAACTGGAAGGGTTGATGAAGCAACTCGGAACTTTCTTTCGTGAGATGAAGTCAAACCAGGGCGAGGCGAGCTCTATGCACGTGATGGCTTGCGAGTTTATCATCATGTGGCTTCAGCAAAAGACTCAAGCAGTAGGAAAGAGGTTTCCTCACGAAACCACATAACTATGGTCAGAGTGACAGTAAAGCGGGTCCTGGGGATATATATATACAGTGGCCAGGGCTGGCGGAACACCCCAGAATGGAGGGGATTTCTGACGAAGAGCTTGAGATAAATGCTTAGACTCATGTTGACATTCTTTAAGTTCTTCTGTATTCCCTGCTTCATACTATCAAATAGCTGCCTTCATTATCCTTTCCTTTCCTTAGGCTTTAGTTTGTTTTTCGGCAACCACAGCATCGCGAAACTATTCCTTAGAAATATGACCTCGACCCTTCGAGTTACAGAATTCCCGTTACTACATGTTCTGCATTGCCTATTGTTGACTGGAGGTTCTCTATATCATGCTGGTGGAGAATGATACGTGATCGAGGTCCAACTATTAAATTTGGGTACATTTTCAAAAAGGAATTGGAGACCTCGTAACAGTAATGGTTGTTCTCAAGAGCCTGTTGGCGTCTTGCGATTTTGTTAGGTCTGGCGTTCAATGGCAGGATTTATAGTGAATGAGGATGAAGCTTAGTAAGCTATAGTGGGATATATATCCCACCCCACTACTGCCACATGCCTTCAACAACACCACCCACCACCACTATATCGTCAGCTACACTTTTGTAAGCTCTTTTGTCCCACCCACATACCCCTCGCTGGAAGGCTCGCCTGGCGATTTGGGAGGGTTTTGGACCCTAGCCCTGCTCTATACTTCGTGTTTCACTAGATAGAGCCTTTTAATTGGTCTATAATGCGGTCGAAGTCCGAGTACTTGGCGTTAAGTTAGTCAAACTGCCCCCGCAAGGGGTGGGTAGCCGTGGGTGCTTATTCTTCGCTTTCCACTTATATGTGGGCGAATTATAAGCACCTGAAGCAAGCCAGCAATACAAAAGAAAACCAACAATAAGCCTCCTTTGATTGATGTGACGTGTACCGAGTGACGATTGAACATAAATTACGGTAAACTTTCAAAAATAGGCGAGGGAGTGGAAATCGATTTATCGTACACTAGGGGTTAGATATTTCTATTCCTATACGTATGGTCTTTTCTTTACACGTAGGCATTTAAATATAGTTTGAAATTATCTTTCTATTTTGCTAGCTAGCATTATGTTTTTACTCTTGGCCCTATTCTGCTCTGAACTAATTACAAGGCTCTATTTGTGGGGTAATCGAAATCCAAGATACTCTCGATTCCATTAAGTATATACTTGTATCCGAAAGGAGAAATTGTGGTAATGGTGGAGTTAGAAGGGGTTGCACCCTACGGTATGAGCAACCCCCACCTGCGCCTTCTTTATTCGCTATAAAAGATTTCTGTAAAAAAAGAGAGACAAACTTGAAAAACAAAGTTCCTTTAAATTCTGGCCTAGGTTCCTTTTTGAAACACCAATCTCAAAACTTTAGAGTTTCATGTAAAGGGTATTACAATTTACATTTACGAAAAGTAGTAGCACAATCATGCTGTTTTCAACTTGTTTATTTGTAGAACTAGGGGTCACTAGGAGTTCTCTGCGTCTTATAAAGAATACATAGTTGCATAAAATACATTAAACAACTATATTGCTACCCTTTCCAGCAAGTACTCGTAGGCAACCCTGGCACTAAAAGTACTATGACGACATAGGTATCTACCGTAGACTAAATTCCTACACTTCGCTACTGTTTGCCTTGGATGAAATCCTTTGGCGTACCTCAATCTCCACTGTGCTGTTCACCAAATTGGAAACCCCAGCAGTTTTGCCCTTGGGTCGCCCTGCTGCCCGGATTTCCGAGGGAAGTCTAATATCGTAGTTGCGTAGAACGAAGATCATAAAAATCTTCATGATATAGAGGGCGAAGAACCGGCCAGGGCATGCGTTGGTACCGTGACCAAAGGTGAATTGACCTGGACCAGTGGATGTAGCCTGATACTTTGCCTCGTTTCCGGGCACTTCACGCATTCGAGAAAATCGATAACCATCGAAGACGTTGAGGGGCGCACTATCTGTCTCGGCCATAGCCTGCATGCCGCTAATTGAATTCTTTTCTGATTGACAGTTTGGTTTCTCTTAGTGGACAAATACAATCGCTTTAATTAGGAATGGAAGTGATAGCCCCTTTAACACAAACTTTGTGGGAAAAAGAAAAGTATAATACTTAGGAGGGGAAGAAAAGTGGAACGGTACATACTGCGCAGCATACATGGGAAAACTTAACAGCACCCCGCTTGGAAGTCTCAGGCCATTAGAAAAGGTGACATTTTTGTGCAGTCTTCGGGAGAGACCATCTGCCAAAGAATGTTAGTTGGAGTGAAGGGGGTAAAGGTTAGAAGCTCAAACTTACCAAAATCCAAAGGCGTAAGTCGCTGGCTCTCCTTCAGAAAGTTGTCGAGCTTTTTCATTTTTGAAACTGCCGCCTTTGTGAAATAAACCTGACCATTTTCATCTATTGACTCTCCATCATCTGCAATTGCTGCCTCAATCTCTTCTCGCAGCTCGTCTGCGTACTCAGCAAAGGTCGCTAGGTCTAGCAAAGCCTGTGATATACGTCAGTCATGGGGTTTTAAATGTTCATTTAGGACTTCTTACGTTTGTCGTTGCGCTGGTGGTGGTATGAAGCGATGCAAACGAAACCTGCCCAGTAGGATCAGTAAGTCAACCCATATATTGGAAAGTCCAAGGCAGATCTTACCTGCATTTGCAAAAGCCCTAACTTCGTGGACGTCTTCTCATGATCCGGGAGATATTTCAAGAGCCACGATATCCATGCGCCGCGGCTACCGGCAGCAACTATCTTTGGCTTCTCGCCAGTGATGGACAATATGTCCCTGATGGCAGGATCCATCCAGCTCTTAGCATCCTGGAGATGAACCTGGACTCTCTTCAGCGAGGACAGAAAAGGACTAACCCAAGGCCGTAGAATTTGGTTATACTGCTGCAAGTCGTTGCGTACCATAGCCGCATCAGCCGTAAACATTGTGGATGTCCGAAGGTATTCTGGCTGCCGGCACAGCTGTGGGCCAACAAAATCCTGCCCGAGAGTCGACTAAGAATCTGGAGAGCGTAGGGCTGCGCGGAAATCGCTATCCATCTCTCCTTGACGTCTTTCATCACGGTAGAAAAGGAAATTCTAGCTTCATCCTGCAGAATGGGCATGAGACCTCCGATACTCTTTGTCAGATCAATACGAATGGCAGATACAAGCTCGTCGACGTTCTCGCCGAGGTGAGTATGCTTGCCATAAAACATGAAATTAACAAGCTCTCTAAAGCTCATGTCCTCCTCTGGAAGCTCGATCACCTCCTTAAACATAGACATGGGTATGACGACTCGAGGGGGGTTAATCGCGAGCAAGAAAGGCGGGTCCGGATACTGTCATGAACGGTTATTTCTACATCTCTCAACGCCTTGAAGAACCATATCTACGTGCCTTTTGGCAACCTTCAACAATTGCATCTCTGGTATCGCCGCTGGGAACTTGGACCACGGGAAAATACAGTTCTGGCGTTGTCTCTTTAAGTGCCATTCGGAAAATAATATACACTACAAGTATAGCAGGTACCACAGTCCAAGCCCAGGACTGCATCGTGTGAAGCATTAAATCTTCCATGATGAAGCTGGCTTGAGATCCCTCGTCGCACCCTTTCAAAATCGTTGATAATGTCAAAAATATCGAAGTGCAACTCTGGGGCACCAGCGACTCATCTCCCGCTACGTAACCCTGTGGAGACCCTAGCAAAAAGGAATCCGCACCCCAGGGTTTTCCACACCGAAACTCATATACGCTAAAACATCCTTATAGGTTCTCTTCTTACTTCCGAGAGTCTAGGTACAGTGAAAAGATAATTTGTAATGGCTCGTCTTCCCTCGAACTTTATAAGTATACTATCACTTATCTCTTTACAACGTCATTTATATAAAACATAGATCTCGTATAGTAGAGTATCTGAAATTTGCTTGAATTTAATACCTATTTTCCTATTAATGGAACACAAAAAAACAACTAAGCAATTCAATAGTCAAGCCTATAAATCATGAATTATGAACGTCCAAGAACATAATCGGTGATGTCGGGGAACATGGGCTTTGCATTCCCGACTTCCCGAGATCCCCGAACCTGATGGCTCTGATACTGTAATCTCACTTAGACGTGACCGAAAGAACGGTGATGGCCGGAAATAAGGTTAATAGTAGTTAACGTACTTCGAAGTATGGCCCATTGCTGGTCAACAAATACACTCTCGCTAAGGGTTCTTCACTGTAGTAACTTGCCATATTCAAAGGTCTTTCCTTATCAATGTTTAGTATAGGTTCACTCTCCAAAAATCAATCTTCAGAACTATGCCTCCTAGTCGCTCGGTTATAATCACTGGTGGGACAGCTGGTCTTGGACTTTTTGCGGCTCGCGAGATCGCTAAAGCACATCCTGAATACCTTGTGGTTCTGGCGTCAAGGAACGATGGCGACGGCGCTGCAGACAAGATCAACGCCGGCCTTCAGCAAGAAAACACGGTCTATGTGCCCCTTGATCTATCCGATAATGCAAGCGTTCGCAAATTTGCGGAGAAATGGGCGTCGAAGAATCACCCACCGATTCAAGCTCTCCTATTGAACGCTGGTCTTCAGTTTCCAGGCGCTCTGCAGAAAAACTTCGAGGGCCTCGAAAAGACCTTCGTCATTAGCCACATTGGACACGCCCTCCTATTTCACCTTCTCTGCCCTTACTTTGCACCAAATATTCGCGTGGTCGTCACCTCCAGTGGAACACATGATCCCGCCAAGAAGACAGGCCTCCCTGATGCAGTTTACCACTCCGCTGAGGAACTAGCCCATCCTCCTACTTCTGCCGTGAAAATCCCAGGTAGACAGCGTTACTCAACCACAAAGCTTGCCAACGTCTTGTGGACGTACGCGTTGAACAGTCGACTTGTGCGGCGTGTGCCAGAACGAGGCATCACGATCAACGCCTTTGATCCGGGCCTGATGCCTGGAACAGGCCTCGCTCGTGTGGCAGTCTGGTACCAGAGGATTCTGTGGTTCTACGTTCTTCCGTACATCATGCCGCTGCTCAAATTACTGATACCAAATGTCCATACGGCGGAGGAATCGGGTCATTCTCTTGCTCGTTTGGCTGTGGGGAAAGAAGTCGAGGGTGTGAGTGGAAGGTACTTCGAAGGCTCGAGAGAAATCAAATCTAGTAATGATAGCTACGATGAGAGCAAGCAGGAAGATCTGTGGACATGGACTATTGACTATCTGTCAAATGGGAGTGATTCTGATAAAGCACGTTTTGAGTCGTTCGCTTAGGGATCTTTACCTTAGTTAATACACAGAGGCATTAATTTAATTTTGGAATGTGAGTGTGCAAGTAAGTACCCTTCCATCCCGGATAAAATCTTAACCGGCATCTTGTTTTGAGTCATTGTTCTTTGCAGCGGAGACTTGGGGGATTGCAATGGACTACATGTATCTCATACTTAGTAATTTGCTGAATCGACAGAGACGGACTTTTAGTGGGAACTGCAAATCTATGAGTACTTTCTACCCAAGACAAAACCTTAGGCGAACCCCTTTCTACAACTTTATGTCAGGGAACGGCCCTGTACTAATCACTAACAGAGGAATAGTTGAAGACAAAGGAGCACTAAGTAGATGGGTGACATTGAAATCCTCGAGGGTAAAAGAGTAGAGAACTACGCCTTTGTAGTTATCTCATGATATGCACTTACGAACTTGCAAAAACCTCGGTTTTGACCAGTAGAAATTCCAGACCTCCACCGCCCAGCTGTCTCAGATATTTGCACTCCAGCTCTCAATACCTCGGACAACTGTGACCCTTCCCCCTTTAAAATCTTCACCATCCCTCGCTTGGCTCATCCGAGTAGCAAGCGCCCGTCAGTGCATCTGCGTCTCCCTCGGTAGCCGCGCGCACAATACCTTTGCTCCATCACTGGCATCCTTTCGACCCTGACCACCTGTGAATCGGGTACGACACATACCCGGCCCGACAGCAATTACAGCAATCTTGTCACTGGCAAACTTGACGGACTGCGCTGCTGTGATCATGTTGAGGGCTGCTTTACTGCTGCGGTAATCAGGCGCGTACCAGGCATTGGCATTGAAAGCGTAGTCCTTCTTACCCGCCATGGTAATCGAGCCTAAGCCGGACGTGACGTTAACCACGCGCTTGTCAGACGAGGGAGACGCCTTGAGAAGCTGCAAGAAGGCTTCGGTGACGGCCGCAACACCAAAGACATTGACCTCAAAAATCTGGCGATACTGCTCGCGAATGGGCTTGTCGGACACCATACCGAGTCCGGCATTGTTGATCAAAATGTCGAGATGCCCGAATTGATCCTTCACGCTCTTGGCTGCTGCTTCGACTGACGCATCATCCGTCACATCGAGGGTGAGGGGTGTTATCGCCGCCTTGTCCACCGCCTCAGTCTGAAGTTTTTGAACGGCCGCTTGTGCATTGGACTCGTTCCTTGCGCTAACAAGAACATGATATTTTCCCGAGCTGACTAGCTGCTGTGCCACAGCAAATCCGAGTCCCTGGTTAGCTCCAGTGACGAGAACGAGAGCCTTGGAAGTTGGAGACGCCATTTTGAAGTTGGATAGGTAGGTAGCTTTCCTGAGGTTTTGAGATATATTATTTCCCTAAGACAAGAATGGCAGTACACAAGTAGGTTCGGTTGTTGCTATTAAGGAAATAACTGTAGATAGATTTCCTTTAATGGACCGGATTTATCGGGGTTATGTCGTACTAAATGCCGCTACATGCACGAAATATTGCTTTGTCCTGTTGGGTGCTTATCGCAGATCATTGGCCAGAGCGGGATATCTCAGAGTTCCCGGTGTCTCCTGCTCGGTTAAATGTTGAGACGACCCTCGCAGACCAGAGACACTCGTTTCTGTTTCTTCATAAGTCTGATTTCGGCTTGAATGTTATAGATACGATCCAGAAGAGACAGTGTCTTTATAGTTTTCACTGACATATCTCCTCTGTGGTCCTTCTCACTTAGCGGGATACATTCGTCGTTGGCGAGGTCCTGAGTCAAGCGCGTCTCTTCTTATATAGGGTTAGAAAGATTTGACGGTCGGAATATTTTCATGGGGTTGGCTGACAACCACTTTAAGCGCCCTAGAAAAATTTATAGCGGGACGAAGACCACGGAGGTGATGCTAATTTTGTTGTCTTCTTGATGTAAAGATTCTCGTAGATATATAGAAAAGAACTTCGATGTGTAGTAACCTATAATACTGGCATACTCTCTAAACCTCAATATCCGAGGCATTATTCTTCCTTCTCCAACTCCGTCACAGCAATCTCACTCAGCGATACCAAGTCGCAGGTCTTACTCAAAAACATCAAGAGCGGCACATCAACGGCCATGCTCTGCCAGAACCAGGTTCGGAACTCTGCAGCGAGCATGCTATCCATACCGTAGTTTCCTAGCGCTTTGTGGACATCCACTTCCTCATATCTGATAATCACCAGGTTCCCAAAGCGACGTTTGATGAAGTCCAAAACCGCTTCGCTTAACGTGAAGCCTTCGTCTATTCGCTTAGATACCTCGCTAGGAAGTCTTCCGTCAGTTGCATGTCGAGCCTTATCACCTTCGCCATCTAAAGCACTTGCTAAGAGCGATGCACGTGGATCATCAAGAGTCGGGTTGTTTCCTTCAAACCCTTCACGGCGGAGCTCCTTGAGACCTGTGGGCTCCAGCCCAGTGAGAAGGTGAGCAGATGCCAGTTCGTCGTAAGGATGGTAGATGCCCGGTAGATTGTTCTCCGCAGATGAGCTCAATGCTAAATCCAAAATTTGCACCAGCTCGTCTGCATCAATGGCATGAATGCCCTTGCGCTTTAGCAAGGCCTCAATTTCGGGATTTTCGTGCAAATAGCCCACCTCGGAAATCATACCTAAACCAAGTGAGACAGCTGAAAGGCCATGCGCACGTCGGTACCTGGCGAACATGTCCAAGAAGTGGTTCGCTGCGCAGTAGTTCGCCTCAGTTGCTGTCCCTAGGCTGCCGGAGATGGAGGATGTAAGAAGGAAGAACTCAAGGTTAGTATCGCGACCCGAAGCACGGAGACTATTGTGGAGATTCCATGTCCCCTGCACCTTAGTCCTTGCTTCGCTCGAAAAAGGGTGTTGATACCATCACCTGGGACAAATCGACTGATGTGGACAGTTCCCATGTGCTGTACGAACTCGCGATCCGCCGTTGTACCTTGTTGGTTCAAGATTGAAATGAGACGGCTTGCAGTGACGGATACATCCGTATCTGGCTCATCTATATCATAGGTATAGAATTTAAGAGACGGCTGCTCAAGAACCAAAGCGCGAGACAATCCAGAAACCAGGGCATAGTCGGGATTCTTTGCGTGCAATGGATTGCCATTGGTGACCCACACAAGGGACGCTGCACGATCCGTCATGAGCTTTACGCTTTTCATGTCCTCGTTCGAGATGGTGGATAGCAGAGGTGTCTTGAGCTCACAAAAGCTGAAAACAGTTGTCCCACTGGGAATATGCTCAGCAGAGAGCTCTTCAAGTCTAATACGTGTGGGCGATTGTCCTTGCATGCCTAAAAGAGCATTCTCCAGCGCCGAGCCCAAGTCTGTCTTCTCCTTCTCCACGATCAAAAACACCTGCTTCTGTAACGCTTCTTTGTTTGTTTTCTCCTGCTGAACATGAGCGAGCACAAGCGATGCATGCCCTTCAGCCACCGGATAAGAGACGTACGAAAGGCCATCTGATGATTTGATGGCCTCTGAGATTGAGCCGGGGCATAGAGCGAGGATGATTGTGTCTTTGTGCATGAACTTCCTGATTTTAGGCATATCGCGATCCAGCCATACACCTGCGACAGGAAGTAGGATGAGGTCGAAGGCACCTTGGCTGAGTGGGGCCGGCTGCTTACACCGTTCTCCCATCTCGAGGTCTACGAGACCTCCAGAGAGAATGCCATCCTCGATAAAGGTAGCAGTGCTATACGTGGACATGCGTTTGAAATCTCCCTCAGAAGCCAAGAGGGTTAATGCAGCGAGAATAATGTCGTGGATGTCGTTACCGAGTTCGAGGATTCGCATCGCCGGGTTCTTATGCACAAGTATGTCCAACAAAGATCCAAGCTTCAAGATATTCGCGTCAGCAAGCGGCAACTTCGCTTCTTCAACGAATTGATCAAAATGCCTTTGAGCACAACCGTTGCTCATGGGACCCAGACCAAAGGGGTCGGGCTTCCATAATACTCTAAGGACAGGGTGGCGGGTATCCTCAGCATCGTCTTTGGGGGCAGCATGATACGGCGCAAGCCTGAGCTGATCCATTCTAGCTACGACAAAGCCATCTGATCCTATAATTTCAGCCCCAACTTCCGCAGATCCAAACCCTGTGCTCTGTGCAATGGCATGTATATGACACAGGTCTCCTGCAGGTGTCGCAGGTGTATTCACGGTAACAGAAAGGAATCGGGTGGGCACCTTTGCCTGAAGATCTTTTGGATTTCCTGCTGTTGTCGCCACAATTGCTGTCTGCATCATAGCATCAAGTGTGATAGGGTGGATGGGATACGTAGATAAAGCATCTCCACATGCTTTCAGCAGTGGTGCCTTTGCGCTGGCGAAAGACTGCTTTTTCATACGGGGAGTCTCGAACTCAGTAATGGACTGGAATTTGGGCCCAAAGTTGAGTCCAGTTTTCACCAACCTATCGTACCATGTTCTTTTTGCGCTAGGCTCGAGGATACCATTGAGCGCCTGGTATTTTGAGCCCAGCCCAGCTGATTGACCGCTCATGGCGATGACACCCTTGGCATGATCCACCGAGATACCATTCTGGTAAGATGTTATGCTAAAGTCCCACCATAAAGAGGACGTCGCGGCATTGGTGATAGGAGACTTCTGAATGGATGTAAAGATCTCGGTCTGTGCGCCGTGCTCGGCAGATAGTACAAGAGCATTGGAGATATTGACGTTGTCAAAACGGAACGACAACGACTTTTCGACATCTCTGTCTATATCCGTGCCTTGCATGACCGCTTCCATTGCCATGCCAAGGTAACCTGCGCCCGGGAATACGACAGTCTCTTCAAGCTTATGGTCGCTTAGCCATGAAACATCACCAAGGCGAAGGATGTTGCGGAAAATGAAGTCTTTCCCATTTCCGCCCTGCACCAGCGAACCCAGAAGCTCATATTGTGGGTACTTGCGCTGACGATACTCGATACTGACACGGGACTCGCTCCAGAGAAGGCTTCCATAGTTGAATCTATAGGGTGGCAGATCTGTAACAACTTGGAATTTCCCAGTGGGAAAAGACTTTGACTCACACGTATGGAGACCATTGACCAGATACCAGTTGATGGGGTAGCCGTATAGCCATAGCTTTCCAGCGAGACGCAATGAAGTCTCAAGTGCATTCGCTTGTCGCTTAATTGGAGCCGCATACTTGACATCGGCGCTAGCCACGCCGGCCACGGTAAGAGTCTGCTTAAGAGGCAACTCCATAGATGAGTGCCGGCCAAGTTCTACGTAGCAATGCATCCCTTGACGGTGTATTTCTTCGACAGCCGCCGAAAACTTGACTTGGCTCTCAAGGTTGCTGCGCCAGTAGGCCGGTCCAAAATCCGACAATTTGGTCTTCCCAGTCACGGAAGACACCATATTGGCATGCTTGGTTAGCATTACCGAGGGGCCTAAGGTTGGCAGAATAGCCTCCAACTTGCTCTGGTATTCCCCTCCTAATCTCAACATGTGGTGAGGGTGATATGCCTGACCACCTGTTCTGAGCTTGCGTGCGAAGATGCCTCTTTGCTGTAGCGCTGCGAGGAGCTGATCAATTCCTGGAGAGTCGCCCGAGATGGTTACGCCCCCAGGCGAATTCACACATGCCACCCTGATCTGTGATGTCAGGCCCAACTTGGAAATCTCGTTGATCGCATCTATCTCCGGAAGGCCTGCAGCCATCATAGCCCCATCCTGTGTATTTTTGGACGTGCAGCTTCCTCGGTAGTAGGCCGTGACGATTGCTTCAGCGGCTGACATGTGACCAGAAGCGAACGCTGCAGCTATTTCGCCAGAAGAATGACCTACAGTGGTTGCGGGCAAAATATCCCAAGAAGCAAGAAGCTGCACAAGGGCGATTTGGATTGCTGTACAGCATGGTTGCGACAGTTGAGGATCGTTGATGTCGGTATTCTCGGTGTCTGTGATAGCATCATGTAATGACCAACTGGGGCGTTCCGGGAGGGCTTGGAGAACGGCATCCATCTCTTTGATGGCATTGCGGAATACTCGGAACTCAGAGAATAGCTCGCGGCACATACCAGCCCACTGCGATCCTTGACCGGTGAACACGAAAGCAAGGGGGTCCTGAGAGTCGGAGATAGCTCTGCCAGTTGCAAAGGCCTGCTCTTTGAAGGATTCAGCAATACTGGCATCTTCGGTACATGAAGCCACCATAAATCCTCGAACCTCAAAATTGGAGCGCCTCGATCCGAGCGTGTAGGCCAAATCCAAGATGTTAGTGTCAGCGAAATCAAAAGCCGCAAAGTCTTCTCGTCGAGCCTGGAGAGAGTCATTGCTCGCCGCAGACAATGGAAGCACAATCGAGGACTGATGTGCTTGCAACCGCTCTGTACTTGTAGCCCACATAGCCCGGGAAAATTGAGGAGTGGGAGCTCTTTCAAGAATGGCATGAGCATTAGTGCCACCATAGCCAAATGAGTTGATGCCTGCTTCATGTTACTCCAGGACTCCACTATATATCATACAGCTAACAGACAAGGAAGCCATGAAAGTACTGACCAATGTAGCGCACATCGGATGCATATTCCGGCCACTTGATCAGTTCTGTGGGAATGCTAATATGGCGCTCTTCGACCTTCAGCTTAGGGTTGATGTTCTTCAAACCATATGTAGGCGGGATCTTCCCACGCTCAAGGGCCATAGAGGCCTTGATAACACTAGAAATACCGCTTGCAGTCTCGGAGTGCCCGACATTTGTTTTTACTGAACCTATCAGCAGCGGCCGCTCAGCGGTGCGAGGAAACACTCGGCTCAAGCCATCAACCTCGATGGCATCGCCGACTTTTGTGCCTGTACCATGGCACTCGATGTAAGCGAGGTCATCGGGGTTTAGGTTGGCTTTCGCTAGAGCTTTGCGAATGACAGCTTCCTGCCCATCGGCGCTTGGCAAACTTATACCAGCAGTCTTTCCATTACTGTGACAAATTCAAAGCTAGATTAGCAATCGCTTACATCCAAGTCAAATGTCAACAAAATAGTAAGTCCTTACGCGTTTACCGCTGAGCCGCGCACGACACTTCTAATAGGGTCGCCATCTCGTATAGCGTCGCTAAGCCTTTTTACATACAAAGCGCCGATGCCATCTGCTCTTCCATATCCATCCGCAGAGGTGTCAAAGGTATGGCATTCGGATGTTGGTGATAAAACACCGGCTTTCATAGTGCCAATATGCTGCTCGACTGACTGGATTAAATTTGCACCGGCTACTATAGCAGCATCACACTCGTAGTTCTGGAGAGCTGCGCATGCGACATGCAAACTGTATAACGAAGACGAGCACGCGGTATCCAGAACAAGACTAGAAGACTAGTTAGCCTCTAAAACGTGATGAGATGTCTATACTGAAGGCTTACCCGGTTTCCAAGGATTGTAGTACCCATGCCCGTGGCAGAATAGCGTTCTAGGTAATCGCTATCCCGAGTTTGCATCACCTGGTAGTCAACTGTAAAGTTACCAACATATACGCCTGTATTGGATCCCGAAACTTTCTCCATTAAAACGCCTGCGTTCTCAAGGCATTCGAAAACAATTTCAAGAAGCTTGCGCTGTTGAGGGTCCATGTAAAGTGCTTCCAGGTTGTTGATACCGAAGAAGCTATTTTCGAACTCGCGTACATCCTGCTCTATGAAATAGCCTCCTCGGGTGGTAATACTTCCTGGTCGGTCACCATTAGGATGATGGAAAGCGTTGACATTGAATCTGGACTTTGGAACGTCACATTTCCCAGATTTGCCTTGCGAGATAAGGTCCCAGAAGGCGCGGGGAGAGTATGAGGATCCGGGCAAACGACATGCTAACATACAGTCAGTGGGCAAGTCATCTTCCTCCCCTAGAGATAAGTGCCTGGTTAACTCACCAAAGCCACAAATTGCGATTGGTTCTGTCGGAGCGAAACACTTTTCATAGGAGGCCTCTGATTGACTTGAAGATTCCGCCTCAAAAGGCAGGGAAAGCATCAGAGGTGCCATGATTCCTTGATGATCAATAAAATTACGAATGCACTCAAGAGTTATAATTAAGGACTAATAAGAACAACAGAACCTCAGAGACTAATGTTGACCGTCAGAATCGGCGAGGGGAAACATATCCCGACCGTACTTCTCGTTGGCCTTGCAGCCAATGAATGTTGAGTCGTTGCCACTTAGATAAACGGTATGAAGCAAATGCCGTGATAGGTTACCCAATCATGCTAACTACAATATCATATCAAGAACCTGCGTTCCCTCATGACCAGTTGCTGGATAGGAATAGATCTCCGAGAATGAAGAGGTAAGTGACTTGGTCCTCTTACCGGGAACACGTTTACTCTTGGGAATACCATTAAAAATGCATCAGTGACTGTAGATCGAGAAGATTTTTATTTGCTTAGGGAAGGTTTTAAATAACGCAACCCTGTTGAACTTTCGCTCAGCTAAATAAGTATACTCAAAAAACCCATACATTTGTTTATAGTTGGAAGCTTGTACACAAAAACTAATAACAACCAGACATTCTATTCTGTATATATAAATCGTTTCATATTTTGTTCGGTAGGTACTTCATTAAATTTTATAATGCCACCGTTTGATGCTTCAAGTAACACAAATGCAATTTATTCTCCTTATTTTGGCCGCTTCTTTCTTAGCTAGGTTGTAGAGCTTCTCGGTAATCAAGGCTACGCATTTTGATAGATCTACTGTGCCACAAGCAGAGAACTACGCAGGGCCAGGTATTCTAGCTCTTTTGGTGCAACTTGATAGGAGGAAGTCGACCCCTCCCTGCAGGATTTGTGTCCGATTTTGTCCGATTTTTTCAATACCCTGATCCTCCGGCATGAAAGAGTTCAGCTGTCTTCGGGTATTCAACATCCTCGTAGTCGGCTTTTAAGGGATTCGGCCGAGCAACGCAGTCGGTAAAAGTGGTTGCAAATCATTGACAATTCATATTCGTCTCACGCCATGGCAATTTTGCGCAGAAATTCTACTGTCTATACTCCAAATTCCTCGGCGTTCAGGATTCTAGATGTCGGTGTGGTCCTTTAGCGAATCCACAACCGCTGATAACTGATTTCGTCACTGCATTCCTCAATCTGTTCCCGTAAAAGCCGACAACTAGTTTCCCGAGCGATAAACTGTACACAATGAAACAGTCAGTGATTTTGAGGGGCGGTTGTTGAAATTTCTGAGATTATGGGTATATTGCTGATTAGCTAGACTAACAACATTCATTCCCTTGCATTGCGGTTTACACCCCCATATCCCAAAGCCCAAATCACATCAGAAAGATTTGAGCACGGAACGAGATTGATCTATTCTACTCAAGCCATATTCATGCTGCGACTATGGCCAGGAAGCTCTCTGTTCTGATCACTGGGTGAGATTAAACAATGCTGAAAAAGAGTTTGCAAGGTATTAATAGGCAATACAGTTGCGGAGAGGGTGGTATTGGCCATGCAATGGCTGACGAATTTCTCATCAAAGGTACTCCAGTTTTGGTCCACGAGTAGCCTCATTGGCACACTTTCTTCATAACTGACGCATCAAGGTTACACGGTCATAACGACTCTGCTATCCCACGAATCTCGCAATCATTTGACGGATGCTGGAATAAATGTTTTCACGGCCGACGTCACTAAGGACGAGGACACAATCGCTTTGCGTGACGAAGTGATCAAGATCACCGGTGGGGGTTTGGATGTCCTTGTGAATAACGCGTAGGTGCAATCCTTGCCCACTACCAACAACGTATGCTCTGACTGTTGCCCTCAGCGGTATCTGTATGATATTAATTTCCTCCCCGACGTACATTTCCTGAGAATCTAGGTTACACTATGACAGCGGCGGATAGCGATCTCAAAGAAGTTGAAAAGATGTTTGCAGTCAATGTGTTTGGGCCTATGCGAATGGTGCACTTCTTCCACCCAATGTTGGTGAAGAAGCAGGGTAAGATTGTGAACATTGGCAGCGTCGGAGGCATTGTACCCTATGTATATGGAGGTAGGTCAACTAGCGAACCACAAATACGTGCTTACCAGACTTGACTAACTTACCAAAGCCTCTTATAACGCGACCAAGGCAGCCTTGCACCACTGGGGCAGCACACTTCGGGTTGAGATGAAGCCTCTGGGGTAAGAGATCTTTTTCCCTGTTCTGGTCTCATACTTTGTGCTGACTCACATCCTGTGTCGCCGTCATCAATATAATATCTGGAGAAATCGGTACCAACATTCTGACGCGGGATTCTGGAAGGAAGCTCCCAGAAGACTCTCTCTATAAGCCATTACAAGCAGAATTTGCAGAGCACTGCAACAGGACGCCAAGTTCGTATATAACGTTGCGACATTGGAGATTTCCTCGAAAGCTAAATGTGAAACAGAAACAACTCCGCCCCGAATGTATGCTTCCTCTGTTGTTGCCGAAGTGACTAAACAGCACTCAGCTGCGTGGTTCTGGACTGGTCAAACTACTGGTATCGTCAGATGGTGTGACATCCTCCTTCCTAGAACATTCTGGGTAAGCAATCTTTCTTCTTCTTTTTGCCTTGTAACCATATATCTGATCAGTCTTGGGGGCATAGGACTTTCTCTTCACTCGTATGTTCAATTTGAACAAGGTGAAGAAGCCGTAGAGCGTTTGAATATTGTGAACGCGCATATGACGTGAGCAGGCCGCTGAAGTCTCGTGGTCAAGCGTAGACTCTTAGACAAACATATGAAGAAATCGACTTACTCAAGTACCAGCTTCCTCTCGTAGGAGTAATTTTATCCTCCATGTTTCATAAATATGCTCAGTGCGGTAGTTTACGGGATTTTTCGAACAAGATATTGTGCCAGAGAGAGCGGAGTGAAAAACGGAAAGCTTTCAAACTCCTTTAATGATATTCTGATTCATACACCTAACACACTTTCGTTCATAGAGGCAGTCAGGCGATGCATAGACAGTGTGTAAATCTTGTTAGCCACTCGTTCTAAAAATGCTCGCTTGTGAAAGTCGTTTGAAATGAACACAGCGTCAAATTTGGGCTGGTAAAAGGGTTGGTTACTTTTCGTTCACTGAGTTTCTTGCCGTAGTTAAAAGTTGCTTCGTCATTTTACACTTCGTAGCATACGCCTGCTCAAGCAAAACCAATGTATTATGTAAAAGTCTTCAATTTTCTAGTACGCGTGAGCTCCAGTTCCGAATATGAGAGAAATATAATCTTACCATCATGCCTTCGATATTTCCGACTTGCTATCTGCTCTATGGTGGATTATCATGTTTATCGGGGCCAATCTAATGGTAAATGTGTCGTAGTTCCCCTCTGTAAATGCTTCTGGTGTCTGTCCCTTCGCAAGGCTCACATCATAGAGACGTGCTAGTTGACTTATAACGTATCGAACTTCCATCAAGGCAAGCTGCTTACCCACGCAGGAAAAGCTTCCTATCAGACTGTCAATACCTCCATATAAATGAACATTTATAAATCATTCGACTTACCAATATGAAATGGCGTAAAACAAGCGGCTTCTGTCACAAGCTCTCGCCTAGTGGTCCACCTCTCAGGAATGAATCTATCTGGACATTTGAAAAGCCGTTCATCTGTAGATTTCAATCAGATGGATATATATTTGGAAAGGAAAATATTTCATGCTTGGTGGAGAGAAGCGGACGGTAAAATGATGAAAGTAGCCTGACGAACCTCGGTACATTGTGTATAATGGAACTTGTACGATTGTGTCTCCCGGGATGTGTAAATCATCATCGATTTGTAGTCCTTCCGGTGGCGTCATGCGTTGAACGCCACTTGGAAGTGGCGGGTAAAGTCGTAGTGCTTCATCGATACATGCCTGGAGATATTCAAGCTTTGAGAGCTCGAAGTGGCCCGGTATATCGTCTCCATAATTTTTGAAGCATTGATCAATCTCGCCTTGAAGCCTTTTGAAGACATCAGGCTGACGAGCGAGCTCGAAAAGCAAACAGGTCAAAGTTGATGAAGTAGTATCGCTAGTGGATATTAATTGTTTGAACCATGTGCAAGAATGAATTTTTACTTGCCTTCCAGCAATTGTGATTAATTTACACTCTCCCATGAGATTGAAAAAGTCCTGTTGTGTTTTGTTCTGGCGAGCTTGGTAGTCTGACAAAATCCAGGAGAAGACGTCTGGTTTATCTGGCTCATTCTACGCAATGGCATGTCAATTCCTTCTCCAATTGAACTCGGCACGTGGATCTGTTTGTTGTAAGGGATAGCCACTTACCTTCATTCGTGTTTTAACTTGCTCCTCCATCCACAATCGAAATTTGTTAAAAGAGGTATTGAGCAACATTGTGACTTGCAGGATGCGGAAAGCCCAGGGAACACGAGAAAATATGGCCCTTATCTTAAGAAATTCCTGCATCAAGCTAATGTGATAATTGACCTCACCTGTACTTAGCATTTCAAAGCTCTGGCCAAACGCTAGGTCACCCATAACATCAAAACCATAGAAACCGATCCAGCTCGTCATATTCACCGGAGTATTATTATTATTATTATTATTATTATTATTATTATTATTATTATTCCTTTTAACGTGCTGTGTGAGTCTGAGACTATAG